TGGAAGTCAATTATTACCCAGAGCTAGCCATCTATTCCTTGAGTATTCATTACACGTTAATATTGGCAAATACAACTAGAACAGCTAATTTAAGTGGATTTATTTAGAGGATCCATGGTTGTAGGACTTTGTAGAAACTTTTAATATCCTAACATACTCATGTACCCCAAAACCTAAAATGCAATAAAAAAAAGAAACATCAAAGCAGTCTTTTTCCGTACAGAAAAAATTAGAGTCTTTAAAGTGCTAATGTCTGTAGCAAATCTCTTAGAGAAGAATAGGAAATACTTAATTTCCTAAACTTATTTGGCCATGGAAACTTTATGCTTCTTCTCATGGGATTACTGCTCTTCTATGGAACATGCTTTTGGAAATGCCAATCTATGAGAATAGACATATTATTTTCAGACATCGACATTTTGTACTCTTTCCACACAAAAAAAGATAACATAACTTTACTTTTCAAGGAAATTTGTTCCCCTTACATGAAGATATTCTTTTCAATTATTACCATTGATTTACTGATTTAGACTTTATTTATTCACAGAAAAAAATGGCTCTCACTGAATCACCCACTTTCGCAACCTCAGGATGCAATTTTCTGGAGAGAAGATTAGTGGCAAATGCCCATTTGTAAATACAATGCAGTGTAGATTCGGTTGTCTCACCAGTAACTGAACCTCTGACAATGGTTTCTTCATTTGGATGTTCTAAATCAGCTACCACAAACAGATTTTTAGTCTCCACATTGACCTGGTTTAGGCTCCATGGGGGCTCCTGCTGGAGCTTTTGTTTAAAAAAAATTGGTTAAAAGATATGTTGGAAATCATTACCCTGAGGAGCCAGATTACTGAGGCAGGTCTCATATGCTTCTCCTATTCAAGGAGGCCATGGCTAAGTAGTCATTCTATAGATAAGGAACTGGCATAAAGGTGAAGCTCTTTGTTCAAAACAGAAAAATAAAAGTAATAATAAAGGGAGAAGCAGAAATTAGATTTTTTTGGCTCCACAATTAGGGCACTTTAGGAAAAGGACAATGCTTCCTGTCTTACCAAATTTTCAGATTGACATTCCTTAGGTTCTGTCCCTAAATCATCCAGTAAATCAAGCAACCAACATTTACTAAGCATTTACTATGTTCTAGGTTCTTCTGTAGGTTCTAGGGTTGCAAGAGTGAACTAAATCCTTGCCATGGAGATGTTAATTCATCAAGAAGCAAGTAAACAAGTATATTATGTCACAGTTAAACTTGATTCTGTTTTTCTTTGAGTCATCTTCCTGGTATACCAGATGATTTTCTGGTTGCTGGTCTTCTGAATCACCTAATTCTATTCCAATTTGAAAAGTCTCAAGGTGCTGTTTCATGATGTCCTTTCTACCTGGGTCCAGGTTTCACTCCCTAAGCCTCACGTCAAAGCTTTTCTCCTGAAGGTCTCTGAACTGTGAACATAACCAGTATCACCCTAAACCTGTCTATTTTAAATCCCACATTAATCAATCTCTAGATTCTACACTTCAATCTATCCATCCTTTCACTCTGTCTTTTAATCCTCTCTTCAACTAAGCTTCCATTGGCTCCTGTCAGTTCATCCTGGATTTTTCCTGGTTGTCACTCTCATTAACTCTCTCTCTCATTCTTTTCTTCCTTCTAATAATCTCAGGAAAGGGGAATTACCTCATTCTTCAGTCTGATTCTATTCTTTGCCTTGCTTTTCTCTCTGAAACTGATAAAGCACTTCCTTTTTTCACAGCTCTAGCTGTATATGTTTTTTTCTCCCCTCCTCAGGAATCACCGTAAAGTGCCTTTTTTTTTTTTTCTTTTTTCCAAAAAACCATATCTACAAGGCATTGTTTAACCCAGGACAATTTGCAGTGTAACTTTTCTAACTAGAGTCAGACTTGGTGAGCAGAGACCTACTGTAAGTTTGGGCATGAGGTATTTGTTATGGTTCCAAATAATGCAAGTCTTTAAAATTAAGACCTCCTCAATTAATATGCAAAACAAAATAAGTTGTTCCTTTTCTAAATCTCCTCTGCTGTTTCCAAATATTCACTCTCAGATCTGTCCTCACACTATTTTTGTTCTTTTAAGCTGTTTGTGATACATTTGTAAATGTCATATGCGGGACTTTAAGACCCTAGGGGTCCCCTTTTCTATAGCAAGATAACTGTGCAGTTCATTCACCTTAAAGTAAGAAGTCTCCCATGGCCTCCAATGCTCCTCATTTTAATGACACTGTTGAGTCAAACAGCAACTTCTAAATTATAAAATGTCAAATACAGACATGGATAGTACCATGTACTATCAATTAACCATCTAATCACCACATACTTACCTTCATAACGAAGCTGGCTTCTGAGCATCTTAGCTCTCACATTTGGAATTATTGAGGAAGATCATGTCAAGAGGAGATTTGGTTTTTAACTCTGGCACCACCCTTGGTGTTTTACATATCCTTTTTTTTCTCAGAGGCTAAATTACAGGACAATTACAAACAGTAGCCTTTAGGAATTTAATGTATGTCTATGACTTCTTCATAAAATGCAGGATGTAGACAAGGAAAACTGTGTCAGCTTCACAAGTATGTATATGTATCAAAAGCTCTACTTTCACACCAGGAAATAAGTCTCACACAATATATCCAAGTAGTAATATTCCCAATCAAGAAGAAAGACACAAATTAAAAGTTTGCCTCCTCCATCTCCTTTCCTCTCCTGAATTTATCTGTCCTTTTACCAAGCCACAAATCTAAGAGACAATTTTAATTTTTCTGTGATTCTCTTCATGATCATACTGGTGCTTGTTACTGTAAGAGGGTCCTGTATCGTATTCCTAGCCAACGGTTCTTTGCACTTACTTAAAGTTTGTAGGGAATTGCTAAAGAAGGATAAGATTGTACTCATTTTAATATACAATACATGTTGGAAGAATTAAGACTTGAAGCAGAAAAACTGGTCTAGAAGCTGTTGCCAGGGAACTGAAGAGAAAGATGGTGGCCTGCACTATGGTAGTACAGAGGGTGGACATGTTTGAAAAGATCCTGAAATGCAGATGGAATCAGAGGCCTAGAGACTAGATGCTTGGAATGAAGAACTGAGTGGAATCGAAGATGATACCTACTCTCTCATTCATACAATTCATGGATAATTGTGCAAGTCACTGATATGGGAAATTCAAGAAAATGGACAGAGAAAATAATAAATTTAGATTTGCCAATGTGGTGGTGTGGTGAAGATACAGTTGTAAAAAATCGGAATTCCATATTTTATTTAACTCTTTAGATCACAAGGCATCATCATTATCAATAACAATATGCCTGTGTAAGCAATTTTATGATGTGACAGAAATACACAGCTATCTAAAATATAATTCTTATCTGAAAGGGTTTAACATTAGGTAAGGTTGTTAGGATGTCTACATATGTAGATGAAAATACATGGAAATACATAGAATGCCAAAAGAGTAGTTTGGGTAATAAATTTCCTAAGCACTGAAAACCTACTTTTCCAGCCTTATTTCCACTTTCTAAGAGGCTCTATGCTCCAGCCAAATTAAATTATTATATTCATTATTATTTAGTTATCCTAAATTTTCCTAGATACATGTCTTATTTTTATCTGCTTTCTCTGACTAGGAGGTCTTTGTTTTTCAAAACGCTATTCAAGTTTTCAAATTTTAGCTCAAAATATAATTCCCTTCCTGATGCCCCAATCAAAAATTATGTAACCCTCTTATAAGGCCCTACATTTTTGAAATTTCATTGAACCTTTTACCCAGTCTGCATTTGAGTTATTTTGTCACATCTTATATCATTCATACCCTTCCCCACTCAAATGCTCAGTTTCTTATACTGGAACCATATCTCATCCAGTTTATATTTACATCTCATGTAGCAACTCAGCACTCAATACTTCTAATTTATTGAGTGGACTTGAAATAAATCAGAAACAATGAATAATGATCAACATATAAAATGACGTTTCAAAACTATAATTTACATTCTCAATTTCCTATTATACCAATATGTAAATTGAATAGAATTTACTCTTCTGGGGACAAGTATAATAGGCATACATTGTAGACAGTAATTTACAACTGACAGGATCTATAAATACTTTTTTTAATTGTTCTTTGTTTTTTCAAATATGTGAGTGCATATGTAATTTTTTTTCTTTTTAAAAAATAAAATTTTTGCACTATTGACCTTTCCTCTAAGTTTCCTCCCCTCACACTCCACCCCAAACAGGCCCTGGTGTGTGTTGTTCCCCTCCCTGTGTTCATGTGTTCTCACCATTCAGTTCCCTCTTATGAGTAAGAATGTGTGGCGTTTTGTTTTCTGTTACTGTGTTAGTTTGCTAAGGATGATGGCTTTCAGCTTCATCCTTTGCAGGGGCATGACCTCATTCCTTTTTATGGTTGCATGTTATCCCATGGTGTATATATACCACATTTTTTTATACAGTCTATCACTGATGGGCATTTGGGTTGGTTCCATGACTTTGCTATTGTAAATAGTGCTGCAATAAACATACGTGTGCATGTGTCTTTATAGTAAAATGATTTACATTCTTTTGGGTATATACCCAGTAATGGGATTGCTGGGTCAAATAGTATTTCTGGTTCTAGATCCTGGAAGAATCGCCATACTATCTTCTACAATGGTCGAACTAATTTACATTCTCACCAACAGTATAAAAGCATTCCTATTTCTTTACAGCCTCATCAGAATTTATTGTTTTTTGACTTTTTAATAATCACCATTCCACCTGGTGTGACATGGCATCTATTGTGGTTTTTATGTACATTTCTCTAATGATCAGTGATGTTGAGCTTTTTTTCTTATGTTATATTTTTTTAGGATGTCTTGGGATGTTGATCCTCTTTAAGTCAATAGAAAGAAAAGTAAATGAAATGCAATAGCCAATATTAGAGATGTATTAATTTAAGTCTTTGTTGCTTTTATATTTTTCTAGGACAAAGAAATCTTCAACAACCAAAAATGAGGTTCATATTTACAAGCCGGTTCTTGGCACTATTTCTTTTTCTACATGTAAGTAAAACAAAATCATCCTAAGCCATGCTAATGAGGAATGTTGAATAAGGAAGAATGTTTTGAGTGTGACTGAATTAGCATTTGCAAGGGTAGGCATTGGTTTCCAGATCCAAAACTAATTTCCTCAAAACCATTATTTTACTTAATATTTTGTTAACAAATCTCCCCTCTGAACTTTCTCTAATTTAAATTAGTGTTTATGGTCTACCTAGAAATTTGAGCTTTGTTTACTAAACTTTAGCTTTGTTTACTAAACTTGAGACATCTCCATATTATCTTAGAAATTAACATAGACAGTAAATAATGTTCTCAGATAAAACATTTTTCATGTTGAAAAACTACATTTTGAATTATAGTTCCAAACTATGATTTGAATTATAGGTTCTGGGCTGTTCAATCCTTTTAAAACATCTGAACTCTTTCAGTCTGAAATGTATTTTTCATCAAAAACTGACTACAAAATCTTCAAGTCTTTATATATCACTATTATTCTATAACCCTTTTCTAACCTTTTAAATTGTGTTTAGTTTATGTAATTCTATATTGTTTTATTCCTAAAAGATTTACCAAGTAACCAGAAATATAATCATCTTATAAAACACTATCAATGCCTATTATTTGTGTCAACTTTGCTAACCCACCATCACATCAGCTTCAATAGCACATAAATGGGAGATGAGTAAATTTTACACAAATTAGTGTGGAACTGCCTTGCTCATTATCCTTTCTATCACATCAGAATAACACTTGCCAATGAATTACAGCTGGCAGCAAAGATCACTCAGTATCTCATATTGTCCTACTCATCCACACAAAGCTTGCATAGGGTTCCAGGATTTCCCGTGTTTATTAATATGTATTTATAGGCCTGCAAGTCTGTCTAAACTGTTTGTCTTTATGTTATTCAAGAAAAATATTACTAGTATTCCATAAATGTTAATTGAATTTGTAAGGCAATTTTAATTGTGTAAAATTATACATCAAATAAATGATTTATGGAAATGACTGTTAATGCAACCCTTTTGCACCTATTTGGATAATGAATATAACTTATTGTCAGGCTATTTTATCATTTTATTCTATTAAATATTTCTTTAGACAACCTACAGTATAATTTTCTAAAAGTAATCAGTATTTGGAAACGCAGGTTACTTCATGTCTTTGGAAATATAAAAACACTAAACAAAAACTACCATGGAAACTAGTAGAATAACTTGGCTGTAAATACCCAGGCCTTATGATATCTTCTATAGATGTAAAAATATAGCTATATATTATTGATACTGTTATTTTTATAGCTCAAATGAAACCCTAAGCGATCTAGTATATTTGAATATTTTTGAATAATCATGTTTCATAAAAGAAATTATATTGAAGATGACAAAAGAAAAACTAAAGAAACCACTAAATATTAACAAAATCATTTAAAGATTATCTAATTAATTTTTTACTATCAAAACTATAGATAATTCGTAGTGTGTTAAATAAACTAAAGTAGGTCATTTTTATTCAAAACTTTTACCTAATATAATCTATAATTTAAATACTGAAAAAATTTCACATCTTTGCATGAGTCATACACAGAAACATTTTATGGTTTGTGGGCATCTCTTGACCAGCAAGCATAACTAAATGGGGCACTTAAACAGCTTTGTGCTCTCTTTGCTGTGACAGAGAGACATTTGCCACTCTCTCTGTACTTGGATTACATATTTGGATTTGGAGGATTCGTCCATAAAACAAAACTGATATGTTCATTTTCTTCAAAACATTTGTTATGTTCACACTGACACTTCTCAGAGAAAAAATATATTTTTAAATAACAATGTTCCTAATTAATCCAAAATATTACTTTTTAGACAATAGATTATTGTGAAAATACACTATTAAACTCTAACAACTCGATTTCCATATAGTTTTTATAATATCAGTTTGGGTCACCAACTTCCATTAGTCTCTTTCTGTTAATCATAACCACCCATTCAATTCTTCTCCTTCCTTACTGAGGTATACAGTAAGTTTAAAACAGTGGTGATACAGAGTGAGCTCTCAGAAAAAAATACTAGTAATGATGCTGATGACAACAATTCCAATGACAATAATGAAGACATAAAACATTAGGTTCTTCAGAGCAAATGTTATTATTATTTGTTTACTTAGCTATATTCACCTATTTGCTTTGAATTAACAATATATGCAGTTGTGTTGTTTGTATAATGTAACTAGAATTACACAGTACACCAGCCAGGCATCTGATCTTATATGGAAGAATCAGGGCTAATACTTTCACAACATTGTACTTTGTCCTTTCTTATTTTGAAAAGCATAAGTAACGGAAAAGCAAAAATAATTATATATATTATCAACATTAAGGATGGTGACATCAAATCCCATTGGTTACAACAGTTTGTGGATTCTAGGTTTATATTCCTTTTCTTTTTTTATTGCGTTTTAGGTTTTGGGGTACATGTGAAGAACATGCAAGATTGTTGCATAGGTACACACGTGGCAGTGTGATTTGCTGCCTTCCTCCCCTTCACCTATATCTGGCATTTCTCCCCATGCTATCCCCCTCAACTCCCAACCCCCCCCCGCTGTCCCTCCCCTATTTCCCCCCAGTAGACCCCAGTGTGTATATTCTTTTTAGAGCAGTTTTGCCTGTGGCAATCAATAGGAAGCTCTCCCTTCAGCACAGTAGCTTGGGTCTATATACTCAGTGGGCTTGAACTATTGCAGAGATGAACCATTTACCAAAGTTCCATGAAGAACAGCTCTGTAACTGTCTCTGTACTTCTAGAAACTTCCTGTAACCCAAAAGCAACCTGACTGTCCTACATCACAGTAGGAATTGCATAAGCATATGACCATTTCAAATCAGATTGCTTTCTTCTGGACTCCATGATTAGTGTGGATAAAGTCTAGAATGTAAGCTCCATGAGAGCAGGTGGCTTGCCAGTTTTGTTCATTGCTGAATTTCCAGAACCAGTGCCTGACATGTTAAGGCACTCAAAATATTTGTTGACTGAAATAAACAATGATGTTTCAGCTGCTGACTACTGCTGTTGGTGGCAGCTTGGTGGTCGTATGTGTGGCGCCATTTACTTGATCCTTTAGGAGTGACATCACATATACGGCAGCTAAACTGCTACATGGGACAACAATTATGAGTTTTGTATATTTGTTTGTTTGTTAAAAAATCATGTAAGATGGTTTATATGCCAAGTTTTAAACACTGATGTTTATTCAGAAAAACAATATGCCCTTAACATCTCATTTCTATCTGGATGTGATCATATAATCATATATTTATTTAAACCCCCAAATATGTAGTATAGACATAACACTTAATAATAAGTAAGATATGTTAAGTATCTTACATTGCTTGGTAATTTCATCTAATCACTATTGGTTTTATTTTGTCTCTGTATTGCTGAAAATAATACCACCTTCCCAGTAATTTGTATTTGAATAAAATTATCAGCAAAAGTTTAACATTTAATAAACTTTATGAAATCTGTATATGTGTTATTTTTTAAGCAGTAGTAATTCCATTATTGGAATCATATATTACATATATATAAGCATACATATACATTATATGTTTATATCTATCTATCTATCTCTATCTATATAGTCAGCCCTCCAAATCCATGGATCATACATCCGTAGATTGAACCAATCTCAGATAGAAAATCTTCAAGAAAAAATTGTACTAAAAACATACAGACTATTTTTCTTGTTATTATTCCCTAAACAATACAGTATAACAACTATTTACATCACATTTACATTGTACTAGATATAAATAATACAGGGAAAATTTAAATAAATTGGGAGGATGTACACAGGTGTATGCAAATACCACACTATTTTATATGAAGGACCTAAGCATCCTCAGATTTTGGTATCCACAGGAGTTCCTGTAACCAATCCTCTAAGTATACCAAAGAATGACTCTATATATAAACAGAATGCCCCAATGGGTATGTTATTTTAGGAAGAAGGTCACTGAGACATTCATCTACTGCTGGGAAAATTCCATCTTCAACGCTCAAACGTGAACCAGACCAGGAACTGACGCAGATGACTACTGCTCATCTGACAACAGAGGCTCTAATTTTTCATTCCTTCAGTGTTGAGACAATCTCTACTGAATCAGCTTTAAACAAGTTCACTAGAGTTTGTTTCAATATTGCAAGAATGATAAGATGGAAGCTCCTTTCATCAGCATGAACTATAACTACTTGTATTCAAACTGTCATATTTCCACTGTTACTGATGTTAAAACTGCATTAAAGCAAATAAACATGTAATTTAAAATACAAGCATAGGGTTTTCCACTTGATATCCTTGGATATACTATTTATCCATGGGCTATATGAAAATCTCTTGGTTGAGTGTCAGTTGCATAAAAAGAGAATTCAGAATGTTACTTTTGGGAAGAAAGCCAGCTTTAAGCAAAATATTTCCTAGTGTTTAGCATATCTAATACAAGTGACAGAAAAGATTTTTATATGACATCATATTCCATCTAATTTGAAGATGGTGAGAAAAATGGCCCAGAAATTAATAATGTATCAAGTTATCATTCTCATATTAACTGAAGATTACTAGAGCCACAAAAGAAGAATCTTAAATAAATGTATAAGCTGAAGTAATAATTAATACCTCTATTGTGAAGGCATCATGAGCCATCCTTTTTCTAATGGTTACCTGATATTTAACTGAATTTTTAAAACACACATATTCATACAAATGTTGGGTAATAAACTAAAAGAAGAAGCCTCAACATGGAATCCCCTCGAAATACTCTTTTTTAAAAAGTTTCACAAACCATGTTCCAATTCTATTAGGAATATCTAAGAATTTTATGACTGATGAGTCTTTATTGTTCATAATTTCTGGTATTGGAAACATATTTTATATTGTAGATCCATCTTACCAGACTGCAACCTGTATGAAAACAGGATCTATACTTATTTTATTGAGCACTGTATCCTCAGCATCTGGCACATTGTTGGGCTCATCAAATGTGATCAATATTTGCTGACTGATCTGAAGCCCAGGGGGAAGTGTCATATATCAATAGAATTGTGTTCAGCTACATTGGTAAAGGATTTTCACAGTTTTAATCATTTTTGTGGGTTCATTACTTTCTCTTCTGACATAAATTTGAGACATTAAAATTAGACATAAACAAAATGTCTAAAGAGTAGAATGAACTTTATTCACAATTGGTGTCCATTTGAAGTCACAGTAATGTTATAAAAATAGTGAATACTCACCCTCTTCTCTTTGCAAGCTATTTCCACTGGGATGGCTTGCTATCATCTCCAAAACTAATCCAAAATAGGGCTTACTAACCAAGAGGAAGAAGTTTCCCCTAATAACAATTTCCTTTGCAAGCAGCTCTTGTTTCTTGGGAATTATTTTTTTCCCAAATATCTAGGCTAAATATCTGGGCCATTTGACTATTACTGTTTTACATTCCTTGTATTCAAATATGCCTTTATGTTTTGATTTTTTGAGAAGGTGCTAAGAGTGGCACTTTGTTGTTTCAGCATGGTTGAATCTAGTCTAGCCAGGCCTTCAACTTCCTGGCTGCCCCCACCTCACCCTGCAACTTTAACCTGTGGACATCTCATGCCTGCTGCATGAGTTTTACTAAAAATTCTCCTTTGACAACCTTCACTGATCAAAAATCTATAAAACATCTTTGTCATATTATATTATGTTACGCTATCATGTTTTAACAATATTAGCTAAAACATTTTTCAACCTTTCATGTCACTGACACTTTGTGTTTATTTTTTTGTTCATCTTCACAATATCATAGATGATAAATATTATTCTTATTAGTCTTCTTATTTTACATTTCCTAGGTTGAGGGAACAGACCTAGTGAGAGGTGGCTAACCTACTCAAAGTGACAAAACAAGTTTTAACTCTTTTTTGTTATCTGAATATCAGATAATGCAGAGTCTTGAAAGCAAAGTCCTGACCTTCTTACCTTCAAACATGCTCCCCTTCAGGCAAGATGGTTTCCTCTCAATAGCTCATGCATGTCATTTCCAACCTCCAGACTTCTGTGGGAAAGGTCCCTCCATCCCAAAAGCCTTCTGTCTATCCTATGCCTATACAGAAACTACATAATTTTATTCAAAGTTCAATTCAAATTCTACCTTGTATCTGTAGCCATCCTGACTGTTTTTGCTCCCTATTCCCTCCAAACTCTGAATTTTGATTGGATTGTGTGCTGGACAGCTTAGCAGTTAGTGATGTGCTGTCATGTTGGACATACACAATGGCATGCATGGAAAACAATGAGAATTCACCATGAAGATCCAGAAATATATATGTCAACTCAATAGGGATGAGTTTTGTTTAGAAACTGGCACATACAGAAGAGTATGTAACACCACTCTGCCATCAATACAGTTGGAGAAACTTCAATCTTAGAATTGAAGTTAAAATGGGTATGATAGACATTAAGCAGTATTCCTAACTTCAGAAAAAGGAAAGTCAGTATAGGCTGATGTTTTTAGGTTTCTCAAAAAAACAAACAAACAAACAAACAATCTCTATGCATACCATGCATATTAAAAAGTCACAGATTCCTGAACCACTAAAAACATTCGCCATAGCCACAAAAGAAATTGAAATCTAGGCCGGGCGCGGTGGCTCAAGCCTGTAATCCCAGCACTTTGGGAGGCCGAGGCGGGTGGATCACGAGGTCGAGAGATCGAGACCATGCCGGTCAACATGGTGAAACCCCGTCTCTACTAAAAATACAAAAAACTAGCTGGGCGTGGTGGCGCGTGCCTGTAATCCCAGCTACTTAGGAGGCTGAGGCAGGAGAATTGCCTGAGCCCAGGAGGCGGAGGTTGCGGTGAGCCGAGACCGCGCCATTGCACTCCAGCCTGGGTAACAAGAGCGAAACTCCGTCTCAAAAAAAAAAAAAAAAAAAAAAAAAAAATCTATATAAATACAAGTTAGAAAGGACAGTATGACAGAGTGATCTTTTCAAACACCCACAAACATATTATCTTTAAAAAACAGAGGCTTCTGATGGTAATGATTAACTGAAACTGAAAAAAACTATTGTCAATCTGTACCCAAAATGCAAATGTGCTGATAAAAATATCTAATAAATACATTGATTTTCATTAGGGAAAATAAATTGCCCTGTACAGATCATCTGCTATTGAAACCAATTTAAAAGATTATGGTCAATTATGAGGAGCAGAAAACATATTTTCTTTATTCCATGGAATAAATGGGGTAAATTTCTGGCAGTGTACACAGCACCAATAAAATTTAGCTAAAAGAATCAAATAAAAAAGCACATTTATTGAGCTATGTCTATTTTTTAATAACATGATTCATGATTCTTAAGAGTAAGGCAAAGTTGATTTAATATTTGTATTTTTTGGAAATCAGATTATTTGTTTTGTTTACTTCTAAACTTTAGAATCATGGTAAAATTAAAACAATTCTAGCTGATAAAGAGGTGTGTGTGTATGTGTTATCCATTTTCAATAGCAAATGGAAACATGCAAATATAAGACTTGCAGGTAGAATCTGTAAGTGAAATGTAAATACATTTTTAGTTATATATATGAAAAAAAATTCTACATGGAGACCATGAATAAGTATTGCTTAGAGAAGGAAAAATAAATGTTTTTGTAAACTTTTTCATTGTCTCATTTGTGCTCACCCATTCCTCCTGTCTATAAGTAACTGATTTTTCTTTTTAATACAGAACCCAACCACAATTTTTCCTACCAATTCAAATCAAACCTATTCAACAATAGAGCCGGAGCCATTTCTTTATGTCGTAGGACGAAAGAAGATGATGGATGCACAGTACAAATGCTATGAACGAATGAGGCAGTTACCCCCATACCAAGGAGAAGGTAAAAAGAAAGATATATGTGAACACATGTTGAAACACCATTAAAGATATTTTCTTTCATGGTTAAATATGTGTTGAATAATTTTAATTTAATATGCCAGCAGTTTTCACACTGTGGTATGTTTGTGTATTTCATGCAATGGATATGCCTAATTTCTTTATTCAAGTTCATCTGACTACAGTTTGGCTAACATCTGCCCTCATGATAAAATTACTGCAATAACTCAGTATTCACACCTGGTGAGCAGGAACAATATAGGACTGAGAGAGGGAGGGGACAGGGAAACTGACAGGAAAGGGAATTGGAAAATAGTGGGCAGAGAACTTGCCTAGGTGGAATCTATCAAACCCTGTCTTGCTTGGATTAATTAGGTAGTACCTTCCCTTTAATTGTCAATTGATTGGCAACCCATACTATTCTTCCACCCTTTCTGGCCCCAGTTTCCAGGAGAATTAGAAAAGATACCTCCTAGCCAGACATTGTTTGTCTACCACCTTTTCTAGAATGGCTTTTTGTGACTGCCCATATGTTTTCAGGTCTAAATTTATTCTATTAGCTGTAGAGGACCCATAGAAAAACAAAAGGGGAGATGTGATAGGCAAAGTCATTGTAACATCCCTTTAAATTCCCCTACTTGTCCCCTGAGGCATTTGGAGAGAGTCAGTCAAATATTTTCTTTTTCTTCAAGACAGATTCTCACTCTTTCACCCAGGATGATCCTCCCACTTTAGCCTACTGGGCAGTTGGGACTACAGGTGCATGCCACCTTGCCTGGAAAATTTTTGTAATTTTTTGTAGAGATGGGGTTTTGCCACGTTGTCCATGCTGGTCTCCAACTCCTGGGCTCAAGTGAGCCTCCCAAAGTGCTAGGATTACAGGCCTGAACCACTGCATCTGGCCTACAACCATGTGCATTTTAAGACAACCCAACTTAGTAGGGAAAAAAAATGGTTAAATATACTCTGTTACTACACATTCTTTGCTTTCAAATAGTTCAAGTTTTAGTGTGTAGTTCTTATTTTTAGCATTTTCCTTTAAACAAAAACATCAAGTCAACCGAAAGGCAGATACATGTTATTCTTCTGTCTGCGGTAGTCTCAGTATTTATCAATAACTGAACAGGGATTAGATATAACTTTGACCAGAGGAGAAACCATTTCTTTGAAGCCAATGAGACAATAAAAACACAAAACTGATATTTTCTAAGTTTTCTGAGCATTTTCTTCATTTTTAAAATAATTTTTTTGAACTTTCTTGAAAGCCTGAATCTGATTCTTTTGATTATCTTTGTAGATGTAAATCTTCATGGTTTGGGGTAGTTTTTGTTTCTGCTTTCGAGAGACAGGGTCTTGCAATCTTTGGGGCTATTTGCTTTTTTGATAGCTCACCTTTGGAACCTTTTACAAAATAGGAATAGAACCTTGTTTGTCAGTGAGATAATTTGGTCACAGATTTGCTATAAATAAAGAATAAATAAAGTTTAGAAACTTTATTTCCAAAATAAATGACTTTGGTTTGTTTGAAATGTAGGTGGCTATGACTGGTGTAGTGAGTTCAGCTACATGTAATATTGTCTTGGGATCAACTTCTCTTTTAGTTACATCCACATGGCTTCAATATTAATTTTCTTCTAAATGGCCAGGTCCATACTGCAATCGCACCTGGGATGGATGGTTGTGCTGGGATGACACACCGGCTGGAGTACTGTCCTATCAGCTCTGCCCAGATTATTTTCCAGATTTTGATTCATCAGGTAGACTGTTTATTTTCATTTTATGTTCTCGCTATAAAGCTTTTCCGGTTTTCATGGTTTTGAAAAGAAAATCAGATACAAAATGTACCTAACTAATCATACTCCACATTTTAGCAGTTCTGAGGCATTTCCTTAATTGAAATACTACTTAGTTGTACACATATTACAAGCTGTCCTTTATTTTTAAGTTATATTGCTGGTCAGTTGTACATGTTGGTATTAAATTCTGGTTTATAAACATAGCTTTTCTAAAACTCTATGAATATTTTTATTTAAATGTGAGTTTTTAAAAATCTTCAATTGTCTCACTGAAAAGGGGGTAGAAATCTTAGTTACAAAGGATACCCAGATGCTGAAACTAAATGGATTAGCTACGGGCACAATATAGAAGTCCCTGTTAATGGGTGAAATTTGTTCACAATAGTAAAGTGAGCCTGAGCCTACAGGGGTTAAGTGGCTCTAAAATCCCAATTAAAGAAGACAAATGAGTCTACCCCTGAAACAATGTTTGAAAGATGCTTTCTGTGATTCCTTCAAGAGTAAAAGATCGAATTTGTCCCTGAAAACAAAATTTTACCTCAGTAAGTCAAGATAATGGAAGTAGGACTGCACAGGACCACTTTTAAAACCAGTGCAGGCCAGCCACTTCTGTGAATTCCCACTGTGATGGAAAAGTTGGGATGTGAAGAAAGGGCCTTGTGCCAGGTCCTAAACCCACTACATTCCTGGAATATCTAACTAAATGCTATTTGATGATAATCCTTCAGTCCCTTGTTGATTCTTCCCAATAAATGATGTTTCATTAATCTTGATTTGACTATTACATTAGAAGTAACTTGATTGACATAAAGAGCTGTTGTGCAATTGAGGCCACTAGACCAGTTCCAAAGTAGCAATGGGGCTCTTGCCAAAGTATATATAAATATTGACTACAAGGCAAGGTTTTGTTCAACAAATCAGAGATTTCCAGGCATTGATCCATCTTTTCAGCCTGGTTCTTATATAGAAACCTTTCAGCTGAGGGACAAATTCGCTTTAAAAGTATATCTGAAAAATATACATATATTCCAAACTTAAATTATAAATATATATATATATATATATATATATATATATATATACATCAAACTTAAATTCTTTAGTATTTTATTATTGATCTAAAGCTTACATCTTAATGATGTACAAAGCACATTAATGAAATGACAGAGATTTCACTTTGGAAAAAGTCTTTGGTAAAAGACAGATAGTGAAAGAGCAAACAACTGTACTGAAATTCAAAATAGGCTGACATTCTAAGGAATATGCTGGAATGTAAAAAGCAAAATTTAACAAAGAAGCATTTACAGCCCCACACTTAAAGCCAAACAAACAACATTAATGGCACAAAGCCAAGATGGTCCAAATATGATTTGGGACAGTGATTCTCAATCCAGATGTCCTTTCAAAAACTAAAAAAAAATTGTGAGCTTTAAAAAAATGCAGATGCCTGCCCCCTCTCCAGATCAATAGAATTTGAATCTCAAGGGATAGGACGTCAGAATCTGCAAGTAGTTACTCCATGTGACTCTACAGTGAGAGAGGCATACCCTACTTTTCATGGGTCAGTCCAAACATAGAGTATTTTAGAGAGAAATAACAATTATCAAAGCACATGTGGAAAGTCTTCAGACTGTGAGCAAACAATAAGCTGTGGGGAACGAGTAATGGGGGATGTTTGGTTTGTAAAAGGAAGACCCAGAGCAAACATAATCCTTTCTTCAAATACTGAAAGACTCATGAGGTGAAGGAGGACAAATTCTTGATAGTTGCAACAGTTAATGCCAAGAAATGCCTAGATCTAGACTTTAGTTAAAACAAACAAACAAACAAACAAAAAATACCATTTCCTATAGCCTTGTTCATGAGATGAATGACCTCCTTTAAGAGTAATATCTCTTTCTGCATACAATGTATTTTCCCATACATGGCTACATAATTTCACTAAAACCAAATTATGTTCATTTTATTTTAAAAAACTACTTTTTGCAATATAATAAATATGAAATGTGGCCACTTTTAAAAATTGCAAATGAGCTTGGAAGGGTTGTAATTGACAAATAGCATTAGCAAAATCATTGACAAATTTTCAACATGAATTTTTTGTGATTAGTGCTAACCCTTTTCCACCATTGTTAGTGTCCAATAGAGATACTTTACAGTTTGTCAGCCAGGGCATGGTGGCTCATACCTGTAATCCCAGCACTTTGGGAGGCCAAGGCGGGTGGATCACAAGTTCAGGAGTTCAAGACCAGCCTGGCCAACATGGTAAAACCCTGTCTCTATTAAAAATACAAAAATTAGCTAAATGTGATGGCAGGTGCCTGTAGTCCCAGCTACTCAGGAGGCTGAGGCAGAAGAATTGCTTAAACTTAGGAACTGGAGGCTGTAGTGAGCTGAGATCGCGCCACTGCATTCTAGCCTGGGGACAGAGAAAGACACTGCCACAAAAAAACAAAACAAAACACTATGGCAGTGTTTTCCAAATATTACCACATGATTTTGACTTCTACATCTTGTGCTAAAAAAGAAAACAGCCATCTATAAAAGCATTATCTATAGGTATAATAATACTTTGCCTTTGTCAACATAGAAAAATGCTTCAAAAATATTTTCCCTGAGAAATTATCCAAGATGTAAAGATTCCAAATACACTTGCAAAATCTCCCTGCATATTATGCCAATCTAGGGTTGCTATTTGCTCTCTCAGACAATAAACATATTGCATGGGTGCTTTGAAGAACTAAAGAATATCTGAATAACTCAGATTAAATTTGGCAAGTATATTACTTGCTGATTATTTTATGTTATTTAATTCAACCTAATTTTTTCTTTCAGTTGCTTGGCTAATTCAGAGGTTAGAATTTAATATCATCTTGTTGCCAACAACATTACCTAAAATTCTTTAGGTCACGGGAATGAAATATAGATAAACTTGATCACTTATGAGATTTCCAGTTCCAAATTAGAATACTGTAGAACAGTATTATAATACAAACGAGAGGATTTTTTTAGACAACAATTCAACTAAATTCTAATTTTATTTAAATGCCACTTCAGTTGTTTGCTCACAATATACTAGTTTTACAGTGTGTTTATCCTACTGGTAATAATGTCTTGATAAATATTATCTCACCATTCTGACCACTTTTTACTCCCAATATATATTGTTGTGATTTCCCAGTCTCATGCACTTTACCCAGAATCTCAGATATATACTAAGTTAATAATAAGCAAAATACAGAACAAAGACAATTTCTTACTTATTTTTAAGACAGAGCACTTGATGTAGGGTCTGGCATATAGTAAGTTATCAAATGTTATTTTTAAAAATTACAGTAGTTGCTATCATGGCCTAATATTTTAGTGTGAATTTCAGCAAAGATATCATAAGTCATCCCCATGAGAACTTATTATTTCTATCAATTTTGGAACTTCACTTTGTACTGATACATATACACTGTCTAAAAAATTAAAATTCAAAAAGTACCAAGGCTTTATCATACTGTAACCAGCACTGTATATATCACACAAAAATAATTGAAAAAATAATAAGCCTGATGAAAAGCAGCAGGCACCACAAAGCAAGCACTTGGAAAGGTTCTTTCTCAGGGCTCAAAGAAAGTCTTCTTGTCCTTTTCCTCCAGAAAACTTTTAGTATAAGTAGAACTGTTAACCTCAGTGAGCAACCCCAGAATCACTGACCTGCAGGTTGGAGGGATGGTAAGATGCCAGGCTTTCCTCCTCTTTGCTAAACAATTTAAAAAAATGGGTCAAGCCAGTGTAATCTTTTCTTTCTATGCCAAACCCACTCACCTACATCTGCATCTTAACAATAAGGGCGTGGCTGTTGTGTTCCCTTTGACCACTTAACACATTGCCACAGAAATAAGAGGGTTAATTAGTGCTTAATAGCTCTGCAATAGATTTGGAATCAAATAGACTCAGATTTGATTCCTGACCTTACTACCCGCTAGATACGGAAGGAAAATTTACTTATATATAAAATGGGAAAACAATATTCACTTCGAAGTGTCATCATTAACGTTAAAGAAGAAAATTCTGCTAAGTGTTTAGCACAGTGCCTGGCCCCCATTTAATATGCCAATCCAGCTGAGTTAAGAATTTCATTAACTAGCATCTATGAGGCATTTTAATAAGTAAATAGTAAAAACTAAAGCCTCGATTCCTATACATTTTCTGCGGGATGAAGAGAGATTATTCAAATGAAATCTCTTGAGAGGCAGAAAAATGACCGTTTGACATATCCCTTAGTTGTGGACTTCTTTGTTCTATTTGATTTAACCATATGGGATTGGGAAGATTTGACCATTTGATCTAAAAACTACAGTTTTATACAGTTAATCTAATGAAAAAACATTGCAAATAAATAAAGAAAGGTATGGTCTTGTTCTTCTCCAGTAGTTTCCATCCTATAATCAAAAGTTTAATGTCTTAAAAAATTACAAGGTATTTTTTTCATATGTTCGTTAGCTGCATAAATGTCTTCTTTTGAAAAGTGTCTGTTCATATCCTTTGCCCACTTTTTGATGGGCTATTTGTTTTTCTCTTGTAAACTTGCTTTAGTTCTTTGTAGATTAGAATTTGGATATTAGCCCTTTGCCAGATGAGTAGCTTGAAAAAATTAGTTCCCATTCTGTTGGTTGCCAGTTCACTCTAATGATTGTTTCTTTTGCTGTGCAGAACCTCTTAAGTTTAATTAGATCCCATATTTTGGCTTTTGTTGCCATTGCTTTTGGTGCTTATCATCACTGGTCATTAGAGAAATGCAAATCAAAACCACATTGAGATAGCACCTCATGCCAGTTAGAATAGCAATCATTAAAAAATCTGGAGACTACAGATGCTGGAGAGGATGCAGAGAAATAGGAATGCTTTTTTACACTGTTGGTGGCAGTGTAAATTAGTTCAACCATTGTGGAAGACAGTGTGGGAATTCCTCAAGGATCTAGAAATATAAATGCCATTTGACCCAGCAATCCTATTACTAGGTATATACCCAAAGGATTATAAATTGTTCTATTATAAAGACACATACACATGTATGTTCACTGCAGCACTGTTTACAATAGCAAAGACCTGGAACCAACCCAAATGCCCATCAATGATAGACTGGATAAAGAAAATGTGGCACATGTATACCACAGAATACTATGCAGCCATAAAAAAGGATGAATTCATGTCCTTTGCAGGGACATGGATGAATCTGGAAACCATCATTCTCAGCAAACTGACACAAGAACAGAATACCAAACACTGCATGTTTTCACTTATAGGTGGGTGTTGAATAATGAGAACATATGGACACAGGGAGGGGACCATCATACACTGGGGTCTGTTAGGGACTGGGGGTTAGGGGAAGGATAGTGGCAGGTGGGGAGATTGGGGAGGGATAACACTGGGAGAAATACCTAATGTAGGTGATGGGGGGATGGATGCAGCAAACCACCATTGCATGTGTATACCTACATAACAATCCTGCAAGATCTGCACATATTCTCCAAAACTTCAAGCATAAGTTTATATATATATATATATATATATATATTTCTTAAAAATTATGAGGTAGAGTACAGGTAGCATTCATATTGGAGTCTGACCCATATCCATGTCTTTGGATCTAAATCATCCTGGTTCAATCTCAGTGGCTTTTCAAGCTCCTTGACTCCTCTCACTGTCTGCTTTGAATTTTTAAAATGAAGATAGGAATGCCTACTTTGCATAGCTTTGCTAAAGATAAAATGAGACAATGCATATTAGTACACTTTGTATAATACATGATTCGTGGTAGTCTCTATTGACATATTCACATTAAAGTTCTATAAAGTGATTAACATGTTGGAATGGCTTTTAAGCTTTATTATTTTTCCTTTTTGGGATTTTGAGATATTAATGTAATAACTATTATGTTTCATTAACAGAAAGGGCTACAAAATACTGTGATGAAAAAGGTGTTTGGTTTAAACATCCTGAAAACAATCGAACCTGGTCCAACTATACTATGTGCAATGCTTTCACTCCTGAGAAACTGCAGGTAGGTTCTACTTCACATTTCACAATTAGGTGAGAATGTCATTATTTGTACAAAGAAATGAATGCATAACTGTAAAATATCTGCTACCAAGAAGTCAACAGATTTTGTGGAAGGAAGTCATATGATAACTGGTAAATTTTAGGGAATCTCTAGAGTAGCATTAGCGAAAATGACATTTCACAACTTGGTTGGTACTCAGAATCAAGAGTCAATTGAAGTTCTGTGAGCATACAGAAACAGACCATTTATGGCAGGGGGATAAGTGTCCATAGAACAGATGGAAGGATTCCCAATGATGCCAGAAAGTAAACAACATTTCAACGGACTCTCTAGCATCCTCTATTCCTGGAAGAGTTTCAAAATTACAGATTTTTCCAAAAGTCATAAGATAACATGCTTCCCTTGTTTTAGCCATGACCTTAGTTTTTACTATAAGGCATAGAAAGAACTCCTAAAGTGGAGCATCTCATCAGCCCATTGATACAGGTATGGCTGTTTAGATCATTTTCAGTGAAAGTTCATTCTTATTTGTTAGAATTTGCATTTTACTGGTGTTAAATATCTTGAATATTATCTCTGCTTAGAAAAATTTATCTAAGAAAATCGAGGGGTAGAGAACAGATACTCTTTCTTCCTCAGATGCATCAAAAATCTGAAAAGCTCACTAAGTCTACAACCAGCCTTCTCACCCCACAGAGCTGGGAGTTGCAGTTGGTCAATGTTTAGTTGTGCAGGGTATTTCTAAGCAACCCAGCTGACTCTAATATAAATCTACTATTTCCTTCAAAGATAGGCTTGTATACTAAATATTCAGTTGAAAGCTAAAAGCACATTAGTGCTTTTGTTTGTTATTCAGATGCTTTCAGGGTACAGAAAAGTTTTCTTTTATTAAAAAACAAAACAACAAAAACAAATGAAATGAACAAATAGCTTAGAGACCAGTTGAATAGGAGGAACACCTCATCACAAGCACAGGCTAAGGGCACCACAGCCAGTTATCTCTTTACAAATGGTTTAGTCACCCTGATAATCAGATGTGTGTCTACACCCTAATGGAGAGCTGTTAATAAAGTCTGATTAATAAGCTATGTCACAGAGCAGGGAATTTTCCAAATGAGTAATGATTATGATGTTACAGAAAAAAATTATAATCATGTTAACTGAATGGCTGAAAATAGTGCAAGTCAAAATCATTCCTAGTGCTGTCATTGGCCTTCTAATACACGCTGGCTACATCTAAGAAGAAAATAATTTAAAGAAGAAATGCTCCTCTCTAGGCACCTAATATAATGATTAAAATGCTTTCCACAGATCTTCTATATAAATATAGTCACATTAAAATTTGAAGAAACCAACTTAGAGTTCATTAAAAAAAAAAAAACTCAACCTTGAGAATGACACAAATATGGCAACTATTATGAGTTGTTGATTTAATCTTATGCATTTGGACAACTGTACTTCAGAAGAACAAATGTTTTTAAAAGGAGTACTCTGGAAGCAATTGAAAATATGAATTAAGTTATATACATTTTTCTTAGAAATAAAGTGTGCAAAGATTTTTTAAAGACAGAAGGGGGGTGCAGATATATATCCAAATTAAAAACAGTATTTTAAGGGGAAAGACTGTTCTACATAGCAAACTATTTAGAAATAAGAACTTTTAGAAAATGCCACTCCTGATATTGTCTACTAGTGAACTTAGAAAAATAGCCAGAAAATGAATTACTGGGAGAAAAGATAGGAGGTGAGTGTGTGTGTATTTCTTTTTTAAGATTCCTAAATTCCTCCCAAGAAAGCTATCTCAAGATTTTATCAGCTCCAATTATAAACCAACTATTCTAACTTTATTAACACTCCCTGTAAGGGTAAACAGTGGTATTAGGAGAGTGGTATCAACAATGAAAATGCCAAAAAAATATGGAATGCCTGGTCAAATGATACAAGAGGCACAACTTAGGAGAAGCTAATTAATCTATTTAAAAATTTTAAGGTCTAGAAAAGGAATGTTCATTTCAGGACAGCAATAATGCACATAATCAACAAAGGGCTCTGAACAGTTTGAATGCATTTTAGCAGAATTAGTGACTCTTCCTGAGGAAATTGACAAGAATCAAAATGTTCAAGGACATATAAATGCCACATTTATTCCAGGAAGTTAAAGAACTTCATAAAAGTTATTCCACTTATCTATACTACATTTGCATTCATACCAAGACCCAACAAACTGTGGAAGGAACTTAAGACCAAAAGTCAAGAGATTCAAGTATAGCTACAAAATAATACACAAATTATACTTCACTAATAAAAACAGCCAGTGAAAACAAAATCTCTAGTTGCTATAGATTCAAGTCTACTTCAATCATAACTGAAGAGATTGGCTAAATAATACAAAATGTAAAGGCTAGTGTCAAAATAATATTGAGAGTAAGACAGAGAGAAAGCGAAGACCAAAAACACAGACACAAAGAGAAACAGAGAGACAGAGAAGACAGAGAGAGATGCATAACTGGATCAATCTCTCCTTTCTCTGTGATAAAATTATATTATAAGGAAAGGAAAGATTGTGATGACTAGGAAAAAAGATTCTATGACATGACGCATTTTATGAAGACATTTTTCCAAATCAACATAACATTATAGGAAAATAAATAAAATTAACCATGATTGTGAAAAAAAGAACTATCAAATGGCTGCCAAGGGGAAAGTTTTCAGCTTCAACCAACTAAATACTAATGATATCATTTTAAACAAAGGCACAGAAACCCACCTCCATACTCTCTGCACCCTCTATATATACTGAGAGTCAGGACAGTTTGGAAAGTGGCTTATTACTCTGCCAGTTCTGTGATATAGAATTAGGCATCTACTGTCTAAAAGATTCCAGAAGTTAAAACCTACCAGGATTGTTTACTGGGCTTAGGGATGATAATTCTTAATGCACTTAAAACTATTTCTGAAATATATTTTTGAATAATCTCAAGGAACTTTATATTATTATTGAAATTGACAGGATAATTTTTAATGCATTTAAAACTACTTCATGCTCATCATCACTGATCATTAGAGAAATGAAAATCAAAACCACATTGAGATACCACCTCATGCCAATTAGAAAAGTGATCATTAAAAAATCTGGAGACAACAGATGCTGGAGAGGATGTGGAGAAATAGGAATGCTTTTACACTGTTGGTGGCAGTGTAAATCAGTTCAATCATTGTGGAAGACAGTGTGGGAATTCCTCAAGGATCTAGAACTAGAAATACCATTTGACCCAGCAATCCTATTACTGGGTATATACCCAAAGGATTATAAATTGTTCTATTATAAAGACAAATGCACATGTATGTTCACTGCAGCACTGTTTACAATACAAAAGACTTGGAACCAACCCAAATGCCCATCAATGATAGACTGGATAAAGAAAATGTGTCATATAAATACCATAGACTACTATGCAGCCATACAAAAGGATGAGTTCATGTCCTTTGCAGGGACATGGATGAATCTGGAAACCATCATTCTCAGCAAACTGACACAAGAACAGAAAACCAAACACCACATGTTCTCACTCATAAGTGAGTGTTGAACAATGAGAACACATGAACACAGGGAGGGGAACATCACACACTGGGGCCTTTTGGGGGTTAGGGAGACCAGGGGAGGAAAAACAGGGAGTTGGGGGATTGGGGAGGGATAACATTAGGAGAAATACCTAATGTAGGTGACGGTGGGGATGGATGCAGCAAACCATCCTGGCATGTGTATAAGTATGTAACAATCCTGCAAGGTCTGCATATGTACCCCAGAACTTAAAGCATAGTAAAAAAAAAAAAAGGGAAAAAAAAACTACTTCTGAAATATATTTGTGAATCTCAAGGGTCATTATTCTTTGAAAATTACAATTTATTTTCATAACATAACATGAATAAAGATAAACATAATTTCATTCTCTGAAATACTTGTTATAATTGTAGTAAGTTTTTAAAAGGAGGAAAACATTTGTTGATTTACACATATTTAGGAATAGAAACAATTTTCTCTCTGATAAATCATTCATTAATTTTTGTGTTTTTTTTTTTTTTTTTTTTTTTTTACTTTTTGTTGTCCAGAATGCATTCATCCTGTACTATTTGGCTATCGTGGGTCATTCTTTATCAATTTTCACCTTAGTGATTTCCCTGGGGATTTTCGTGTTTTTCAAGTAAGTACACTTACAGCATCTGCTCTTTATTTCCTCCTTAAAGTTACAGAAATAAATGGTGAATTCTGCAAGGCGGACGTGGGGAAGGGTCTTCAGCAAATTACAAGCAATATGCAATATTAGGACTCATGAAGTAGTAAGAAAAGTGAAATGAATTTAAATATGCTTTTAACCCTTTTTGCGGGGAGAACAGGATAAATGTATATCATTTTCAAAAGCACTATGCCTCGGGGCTTCCCAAAATAAGACAGTCCTGTGAACCTATAAGTACACTGTTGTAATATGGTAAAGGTTCCTTTTACTACGGGTAAGTTTCTGTTGAGGGTGGAGGAGAGGATGCTCCACCTTCTTTTACCCCCACTCTAATTTTTAGAGACCATGGCGACAAATCAACATATACCCTGCCTAATTATTACTTGTTAGCATTTGTAAAACTAAGGAATAAGCAAGCACATCAGAGCATGTTTCTGCAAAACCTAATTTAAATAATGCTTGTCTTTAGGTTTTATGGTACACAATTATGCTAGAAAGCAAAATATGAGAAAACACACAAGGAACAACTTGAATAAATTATCTTGTCATTTTAGGTGAATATAAAATAGGATCTTTACAGGTAATGGTACATTTAAGTTAGAAACTGTTACATATGCTTTCATCACAACAAATCCTAGTGAAAATAAAGCAGTCATAACATTGTCCTAAGCTGGTTTTCTGAAGTATATTCACAAATGTAGATTCAGAGTAAGCCACATGTGTATTTTTTCTAGACACACCACAGTTCAGTACATATGTCAGAAACTGAAGTAAATTGGATAAAAATGAAATAATACATGTAAGGTGTCTGGATTCATGTCTGACACATAAGTGAAATATGTGTTTGATATCATTATTATTACAGTTATTATTAGAAGCAATGATAGTCATGGTAATATCATAGAAATGATAAACAAAAGCCCTTTTGTAGACTCAGATGACAATCATTCACACTTAAAAAATGTGGTATGTGATTAAATGTACAGTGATTCACATATAGAATGGGGGACAGAATATATGTGTATTTATCACTACTATATACTTAAAATGGTAAAGATGGTAAATTATACATCTATACTTAACTTCGATAAAAAAATAAATTTAAAAAACAGAATAATAGAATCTTAATTTAATTTTTGTTAAAATATTGACAGGATAATACTAAGGAAAGTTAAACCAAGGGGAGAATAATCACCTGTAAATACGTCCTTAGCACAAGTGCTATTCTTTTTTCCTTCATCATCTTTCAATCTTTGTCTGTATCTTAGTCAAGATTCTTATATGGGGGCCGGGCACAGTGGCTCAAGCCTGTAATCCCAGCACTTTGGGAGGCCGAGGCGGGTGGATCACGAGGTCAAGAGATCAAGACCATCCTGGTCAACATGGTGAAACCCCACCTCTACTAAAAATACAAAACATTAGTTGGGCATGGTGGCACATGCCTGTAATCCCAGCTACTCAGGAGGCTGAGGCAGGAGAATTGCCTGAACCCAGGATGAGGAGGTTGCGGTGAGCCGAGATCATGCCATTGCACTCCAGCCTGGGTAACAAGAGCAAAACTCCGTCTCCAAAAAAAAAAAAAAAAAAAAAATTCTTATATGGACTAAGCAATAGAATTGAATAGTAATTTTTCAACTGAATAGCAAATGATAGCATAAGCAAACAGACAATGAGCTCTTTCCATAAATGATTTAATGGGAGAAAGACTGATAAACAGACATGAAGTATTAATTACTCAAATTAGAATAGAAGAGTACTTTCAGTGATAATGATCAGAATACAATAATCACATAACATGATTAATCTTGGAATATCTTCATTTTTCAATTGCACTTTATTAGGGCAAACAAATCATCATCATGGTTCTCAAATAACTTTTGTTTTAAAATATGCCACCAAAGTATATTAAAAAAATTTTTAAATATAATCATAAAAATTGAAAGAAAAATTCCCTAAATTTATAATCATGAAACTAATTGTAGTTAGGACTTTAAAGGTAATAATGTCAAAGGGATATTTTTTAGTTCCTTATTTCTAGAGCCACTTAAATAAGTGCGGAGATATAAGAGCCAAATCAACGAAGAAATTAAGAATATTTTTCAATGATCATTTATATATCAAGCTATTGAAGATGGGTATGTAAAAGTGCAGCACATGGGCAAAGTAGAAAATTTCTCAACTCCAGTTAGTTCCAAAGCAAAATGATTCTGATTGAACCCTTGAGAGAGTGTGGGGGCAGATTGTCTAGAAATCACCCAACTTTGCCCTACCGTCTCTCAGTTCTAAGAACCCACGAAACAGCAACTTAAATCTGGAGAAGAAAAACAAGTCTTACTGATTTATCATCTGAGTCTAATAATGAGAAGAAATAAACTGAAATAGCTGATTCTTCAGAGCAGACACAAGAGACACATACTGAGATGCCACATACTTAAACCCAAAAAAGCTATATAAATTTTTAAACTTGTTTTCAATCATATCTTAAACCTTACCCAAATGAAAAATATCAAGGGCATCTGTTTTCTTAAAATTTAACTATGTCCTTGATCCTTTCATCTTTTTTTAAATTTGAATTCCAGAAACATCAAAAGTGATTGTGGAAGTAGAAAATAATACTGATATATCACTGGAATTTTTTTGTGAATTAGCAAATTTGTTCCAGAATTTATTTTCAAATACTCTACATCACCTCTAAGATCTTAGAAGGTTTCATAATTTATGCACTTAAATGGCATCATCTGTGTGCAACCTGAGCAAAAAATATCATCACTCCCTTGCTTAATTCTATATTCCCAGGTCTCAGTAATTTTGCCAACCCCAAACAATTTTATAAAACTTTCATGAAACTAGAGTGAAAAGTTACCCAGCTCCACTTTGAGAGCTGATGCCCCATTCATAATCATTCTACTGATATCTCACTGGAAAGCCCTCAGAACTCCTTAAAAGTGCCTTTAAAAAAGGAGGAACCCTGCAACTGTCCTCCTCAAAAAGCAGTCTAAGGAGGCCTGCAGAGCCATTTAAAGTCACTGATTATACAGGAGGCTTTGGAACTGCCAATACTTCACTAAAAATTTGAGCTATTCCTTGGAATTAATTTACTAAAGCATGCTTTTAATCTTAATGTAATTTTATTCTGAGCATGCAGGGGAAGGTAAAAGGCAGAGCCAAATCAGCAAAGAAATTAAGAATATTTTTCAATGATCATTTCTATATTAAGCTCCTGATGATGGGTGTGTAAAAGTACAGCACATGGGCAAAATAGAATATTTCTCAAATCCAGTTAGTCCCAAAGCAAAATGATTCTGACTGAACCCTCAAGAGAGTGTGGGGGCAGATTGTAAACTGCACCTTAAAGCAAACAGAAATCATGCTCCTTGTGCTGCTGGAAAATTAATGTAAAAATGTATACAAAGTCTTCATTTTAATAGGAGAAAATTGATCTTCTATATCTTCTTCCAAGAGAAAGAGAAGGGTAGAAAAAAAATTCTCAGGTTTAATTCACAGAAAAGTCAGCATTAAAAATCTTAACTGTTCAAAAGTTTAAATAATATTCAAGATGATACACAGGTCATTTCTGGTACACCAGTTAAAGATAGAAGACTGCACTACCAGAATAGTATTTAGTTTAAAACATTTGCAGAAAAAAATTGGAGTGATAATATGAAAAGGGATTAAATATAAAAATCAAATTAGTTCAGCAAGATCTCTCACTGCTGGATGCCGATAGTAAGTGTCAGCAAGAGAGCTAAAATGAAGATACTCTTAGGAAAGATTGGTTTAAGAAAGACACATAAGTGGGCATTATATTTGAGCTTTGTTCTTGACAATTTTCAGCAAATTTCCAATAAATTCACTTACTCATAAATTTTAATTACAATTTATCAATTTGCTTTTCTGTGGAATAATCCTAATACTTCAGCCTCTCACTGTAACTGTATCATCTCATGAAAAGCATAACAGACCATTCATTAGCATTTATTTTGACTGATTGTTACCCATGCCTTTCTGATTGGTATTTTAAATATTCATTTTTCTTGCCTGAAAGTTGATAGAAATATACGTTGGAAGACAGTCTCTTCATATTATTGACTACAATACATTACATTGGCCACATTGACAAAAAAGTAATCATGAAGGTCAACAAAGGTGGCTTCCAGTGGGGCATCCTGAAGGAAGACTGATTTCTCTACTACTTACTCAGTATTCTCTTTGTTCTATGTCACCTCTACATATTGGGTGGATATATGAATCTTTATCTTGTATAGTACCCACCACCATTTTACATCTCTGGCTACCTTCCTGTTGCTCCAAGAAAACCATGAAATCAATGGTATCAAAGATGGCCTCCTTTCTTCCAACTCACCAGTGGCAGGACAGACACCAAAGACAACTAACTGTTGATCATACCACAGCATACTCTTCACCCACAGAACAGTAGTAATAGGAAAAGCAAGAATTTTTATTGAAACACAATTTATTAAAGATAAGGATTTTTGCCAAATCAAAAGGATAAAGTCCTTGTCAAATAGGGAAGATATATAATATACCGTATTTTGAATTTTTCCAGGAGTTTTAATGCAATCCATTTCACATCACTTCCTCTCTTCCTCTCAGTTCTCATGTTCATCATGAATAACATATGATCTCTAGGTCAATGAAAACTTAATGTTACACTAGAAGATAAGATGGGCTTTTACCAATTACAGAAATGATTCCTAATTCATATTTTCCCATGCACCATTAACTTCACAACTTTTACTTGTTTTCTTTTTGCTACTTTCTTTGTTTGCTTTGAATGTGACTATAATTACACTGTCTTATATAGGAGAAAATACTGCTGTTCCTTCCCCTGTGATATCAAACTGATTTACACAATCAGCAAAGCTCAAGACCTAAATTAAATGCTGTCTTATAAAACTACAAGCTCTCAAAAAGCACACACTCACACACACATAAGGTACTAATAACTTGAAACAAATTCCTCAATTTGAAAGATTTACACCAGATAAGCTATAACCATGAAAATGACTTTTTGTTTTAACCTTAAAATATGACATCTTGAGATTCATACTCATGTAAATCATTATCTCTTCCTCATATTTGAATGACACCTTGATTGGTAGATTATGTTGTAGAAGTAGATTATGTTGTCTCATCCTCCCGCTATTGGATAATTTATGGTACTTACGATTTCCCGTCACTCAAATAATAAGCAATGTTCTGTCCATCTAAATGCCTGTTTGTTTTTTTTATCAAGGGAATAGAATATAGTTAGTGTCAAGTTGGTGCTATTTCTACCTAAGACATCTCAGATCTGACAGAAAATGTTGTCAGCTTCTCTTATGTTCATTTAAGTGACATGATATTTGCTGAGGATTTTTAATGTTAAGCTCAGTTAATTCTCTCTAGCATCCCATACCTCTTCTTCAGAACAATTATCACAGTAAAAGCAAAAAAAAAAAAAAAAAAAAAAAAAGGCATAGTATATAAGGTCCCTGTCCTCTGTTATCTTCCTAATATCTACCAGTTCTGGATCATAGTGAGTACACAATAATATATTTTGGATTCTTGAATAAATTTTGAAAAATTTGCAGTACCTTTGACTCACTTCAAAAAGATGACTATAAATGTCATCAAGTATAATAAAAATTTTAAAACTCAATGAGCAAAAATCATATTAAGACTTTCAAGAAACAGAAACTCATGTATTAGTTATACTTCTTTGGAGGCTAGCAACTTATCTAGTTTTAAGCTATCATTTTCTCTATATTTCAATGAAAACATACATATGATTATATATATACAGTATTCTTTATATATACTATATCTATATATACTATATCTTCATATATTTATGTATACTGTATTTTTAGTATATACTGTACTTTATATATACTATATCTATATAAAGTTTGTATGTATATATACTGTACAATGTTTATTTTCAACTAACGTTGAACAATAGGATAATGTTCCATATTAGCTAGTTAATATGAAACTGAAGAATTTGGCAAATGTTCAGTACAACATGAAGTATAAAGAAGGAAATTATTTAGCATTTAATGTAATTCTTTGATATACTGGAAAGCTGTTTAGTGATCATGGCTCAAAACAGAAAATTTTTCTTAATTATATTTTTAAATTTTAAAAAATGACTATTAAGCCCAATGATGTGTCAAACAGTGTTCTAGGTATGTAAATTCCTTTAGCACTTGCATTTTAGTGGGAGAAATGGAGAGAATAACAGGCAATAAATAAATATATACTGCGTCAGAAGGTGGTAAGCGTTAAGAAGAAAAGTAAAGCAGGGACACAAGAGAGTAAGCTGGAAGTGGAGGAAGTATATTTTATTCAGGGTAGTTTGGGTTTACATAGGAGAATGAAGTTAATGAAGTTATTTAAGCTAATGCACAACAGCAGAATATTGAACTCTCCCCAGTCAAAAGAAAACCAGGCATAAGAATAACATCGCTTTATGATATGTTCATTCATACTCTTTAGTTCTAGATAATGTCAATTATCACTGGTCTAAGCCAGGCTGAATTAAATAATTAATCCCATAATTAACTTCCAGTGAGAATTATAAATTGCTCTTGTGACTGTATGAAAAATGGCAGGTCACAGATTCACCTGTACTGATTGCAGCAGTCACAAGATAGAAATTTATGCAGTATAAATGAGCATGATGTTTCACATAAATAATTTTTTGTTTAAATTTAAATTTGAAACTCACCTTTAATGTTATGATAAACCAGTTGAGTTTGATTTATTTAACAGACTTCTGTACTGCTGAATAGAGTAGTCCATAGAAGTGTGTGTGAGAGAGAAAGCTCTTCTCTGAATCCTATCTTTATCAGAGCCTGCCTCTTGGATGTAAATTCTATATCCTACCCCTGCTCCAACAAGTTGAATTTTTAAAAATATTATTCATTAATGATTTACCGTTTGTGCTTCCCAAAAAGTTGAAAACTGTACCTATAATAGTTAAAATATCCTCTAACAGCTGCCTTTATTACTTAAATTTGCTCTTTACCACAGATAATTGACAACTGTTTTTCCTTAGAACTGGAAATATAGGAATGCATTGTAAGTAAACCCAGGCTATTTTGTATTTTATCTTTCCCCAGAATTTCCTTTTCAAAACTCTTCATTTCTAACTTTATTCCATGAAGATTTTTTTAGGAATAGTGTGATGAGTCATTGGTATCAGTAACTGCATGTTTTAAGCTTTCACATGTTGAATGACACTATACTAACATTTTTTGCATTATCAAATATGGTAAATATAAGATTTTCATTTGTCTAGAATAATCACCACAAATTTGTTATAGCCATGACATAGGCTCTCTCCATTGCATCAAAAAATGAAATAGGACATTCAAATTAATGTTCATTCATGTAAACATTCACACCAACACATATGTACAAGTTTATGAATGGAGGAGAAAATAATAAAAGCCCCACCAAATTGCTTAATACCCAAAAGTGGGGAATGACTCTGCCAGGAAGCAGCAGCATTTGGATAGCTCTCATTGGATCCAAGTCACAATATGCCTCATAATGAAACTTCATTTGAGCCTATTAAGAATTCTCTGCCTGTGTCTGAGCTCCACCATCAGGAGGGTTGGAAAAGAGGAACTACAGTGATTATTCTAGTTGGAATATAAGATCTAAGAAGATGTTAAAAGAAATAGTGAGAGAGAAGAATGCCAGGAGACGTGAAGCGGGTGTATGCAATGGCTCAAGGACATAGATTCAGTACCTTGTCACAGGTAGCCTCGGTTCTGACTTCATGCTCTGTGACCCCACTGGCCACATATTTTCTGCCTGGTTACATCAATAAACAGTATGCTTTTCATTTGAAGCACACTCCAAACCCTAATAGTTTCTAATCTAACAGTCCTTCTGTTAACTAATTTTACATTTGTTATAATTAAAAGTGATTTTATCACCTGCTCTTTCCGTTGTTGTATGAAGTCACCCTGAGGACTGAACACTATGAGCTTCTATGATTGGAAAAGTGTTTTTAAAAATCAGGCAGAAAGGTAGTAATAAATCTGAAAGATGAGACCAGCCTTACTTTTTTCTATATGGTCTCTCATCTGTTTTTAAAGAAAATATGAAAAATATTACCAAAATGTTTTTTTCCAAGTACTCCAACATTTTGGCACTGGTTAATGCTTTATGTTACTTTTTCTTCCAGGAGCCTTGGCTGCCAAAGGGTAACCCTGCACAAGAACATGTTTCTTACCTACATTCTGAATTCTATGATTATCATTATTCATCTGGTTGAAGTAGTCCCCAATGGAGAGCTTGTGCGAAGGGACCCGGTAAGTACTGAATAGTTTTGTTTTTATTATTATTTTAAAGGATATAGTACCTGCAAATAGTTAACATGGTGTTCATGTTGGACTTAAGCAGTTGTTTACATGTGTAATCATATTTACTTCTACAGTCGAGGTTTGCATTTCATGAGGCATATCATTTCTATGTGGTTTTTGGAAGAAATTATTACATGCTCTATTAAAGAACTGAAAATAATTGAATCATACGCAAATAAGAATCATAAAAAAACCATGCATTTCTAAGACTAACCAATTATATATATATACACACACACATATATATATATATATATATATATAGAGAGAGAGAGAGAGAGAGAGAGAGCGAGCGCACTTTAGGTTCTGGGGTACATGTACAGAACATGCATAATTGTTGCATAGGTACATACATGACAATGTGGTTTGCTGCCTCCATCCCCTGTCACCTATATCTGGCATTTCTCCTCACGCTTTCCCTACACAACCTCCCTACCCTCCACTGTTCCTTCCCCATCCCCTCCCCCCACCCAACAGACCCCAGTGTGTGGTGCTCCCCTCCCTGTGTCCATGTGTTCATATCCTTTGTGCACTTTTTGGTGGAGGCTGTGTTGAATCTATAAATTACTCTGGGAAATATAGCCATTTCGCTATATTGATTCTTCCTAACTACAAGCATGGAATGTTTTTCCATTTGTTTGTGCAGAAATCATAAGCATTCCTATACACCAATAAGAGACTAAAAGAGAGCCAAGTCAAGAATGAATGCCATTCACAATTGCTACAAAGAGAATGAAATACCTAGGAATACAACTAACAAAGGATGTAAAGGACTAACCAATAATTTATTAACACCTAAGACAAATTTATTGAGCACATCTTGTGAACATAGATGATCCTAGGTACAGTAAGGCAGTGCTTCTCAGTGATCCTGGTGTGCCACAAATGGTTACAGGTGTGCCTAAATATTGATCCCCTCTTCATTCTGATGCCAGGCTGGGCTTAGCCCAGTCATCTCCACTGTGTGTAGCTATTCCCTTATGCTAATCAACCATATAAATATGATCATGTTTTGTGTCATTATGCTTTCAAAAAGGTTTATACTGACACAGGAAATGCAAAAGTTAGGCCAAGCATACATCCCTGAAACTCATGTCTTCATGCACAATTACAACAAGCAAGTATAGTGTGTGTCCTCCTTCTATTTGAGTACTACAGAGAACAAGAGAATTAAATCAATTAGCTCCATTACTGAGAACCATTCTGGATTTCTTCTACCAGAATTGTCCTGAGAGTTGTTCAGAGTAACCCATATTTGTTGTCAGTCTTCTCTCTTTCTATCCAAGATAGTGTTTTTCACAGTGATTTCCAAACCTGGCTCTACTTCAGAATCAACAGGGGAGATTTCATAAATATGAAATAGTTACTGTCCACATGATGCTAGAGAGTCAGTAGATATGAGGTGGAGCCGAGGAATATATCCTGGGTATTTCTTTGCTGTCAAGTTTGGAAATTATCAGCTGACTACTGGATGAAGCAATTTAACTGGCAGGGGAGGACAGAGGAGGAGCATCTTGAGGTTTTGCTTTTTCATTGATATCAGTCCCTGGTATTACAAACTAACAAAAACCAGAACTAAAAGGGATTTTAGAGGTTATTTATTCCCGACTCCTCATTTTACAGATCAGAAACTTGAAGATAAAAAGGCAAAGTGATTTCCCTCAAATCATAAAATTGACTGGAGTGGGGATCAAGCACTGAAATTCAGGTCTCCTTACTCTCAGTTTTTGTTCTTTAATTTACATTGTCAGATGTGTCTCTGTAAATCAGTGAGGGTTTAGCAACACCAAACTGGTTGATTAGGTTTCCAAATCTACCAGATTAATTTTTAAAAAATCAAATCACTGTGGCACTGTGACACAAAGTAAACACTTACTTTACAGAAATTTTTATTTATCGATTCAGTGTTTACATAATTTATAATTATAGCTTCTATTATTTAATAGTTATTTTGTCCTCAGTAAATATTTTCATCTGAAAAACTCCACAAGTGCTTCTCTGCTGTCTCCTTTGCAAGCCTGCTTTCCTTAATTTTAACAAATCTTTTCCTTTTAATGGACTGTGCTTTAATTGAATTATTCAAAATAGTTTAACGATGTAACTGTTTATTCGATTAAATATAAAATTGCCAATATTTGATCATTTTTATTCTGCAAAATTGATGAATCCATATGTTTTATTCTAATGCAAATGCATAGACAATGCACTAGGATATAGTAAAAATGGGGACTATTTCCACTCGAGGCCTGAATAGACAAATGGGTGGAAAGGTGTATGAACCCAAAGACAGAGAGTTGGTGTGGTAAAGGAGGCCAACGGAAACTCAGGACTTCCATCTTAGGACACAGCCAGCCTGTGGCAACCCCACAAAAGGAAGTGGAGAAATAAATATCCATTGTTCACTCACTCTCATCTTTCAGTCTCTACTGATGGTCCCTATTAGCTGAGCTCAACCAGAAACCAGAGGGCAAGGAATCCCTGCTGGAGATGTATAGATTTATTTCTGTGGGCCCAGGGTAGAGGGAACAGGATGGAAAGCACATCTACAAGCACAAATAGAAGCTATCCAGCTCAAAGTGAAGGGCCAAGGGATACTTTCATTTTTGTTTCTCTGTTTAACTGTGTTATGCAAACATCTGTAGATAGCCTTTTCTTCCAAAACTGGCATTTGACAGTTCTGCCAACACAATAACTAAATATGCGTGAAATCTGCCCAGAGCATGCATCCTGTGTGACAGTGGCATGGCATGGGAAAGCAGCTTAATTTGGCTTCTAATGACTCCGCAGTGTTAATAATTTTTGTAGTATGAATATATGCAGAGAGACATTATAATCTATCTTTTAAAACCATGACATCTGTTATCAGATCTTTTAAAACCATGGCATCTGTTATCAGAGACAAAGTCCTGTCTTACCTGCAGAATAATGTGACTAAATGGGTTTACCCTGATGAATGTTTCTTTTTAGTGTCAATTGATCTAAAGAAAATTTATCTCATTTAATTTTTGCAATATCCTAGCAATGGGTGGAATTATCCCCATTTTTAAAGCTGGGGAAACTGAGGCTTGATGAGAACAAGTGTTATCTGTACCATGAATACTTAGAGATGGGATTCAAACCCAGACATTTCTCACACAGGAGCAAACCTCTCTCTTCTTTACCACTTGGTACCCTTGATTGTCATTCTTTATTGCCTAAGAAAGACATCTTCTTAGAGAAATGGGCTTAGCCATTCCAAAGTGATAACTGCCCGTAACTGGACATGCCCATTACAGTTAATGAGGGAAGCTGACCCCCACTGAGATGAAAACAGAGGAAGAAGCAATTAACTAAGAATCTCTTTGTAGAGAATAGTCACATTTTGGCTATTTTCCATGAACAGTAGAAATCCTAGGAAAGTTACTCTCTATAGGCAGTAGGCCAAGAAATGAAGCTTCAGTTTTTGAATAACCAACCACATTGATCTGGGAGCATGCTCAGTCACATGATGAAGTATTATAAATTCTTTAATAGACTCTTTCCCCTCGTTTTGTGGGAGTCTCATGCCCATATCTCCATGCCTCCCACCTATAAATGTAAAAGGGACTTCTTCTCCACTATGAGATCTTCTTCAACCTATCTTCCTGAAATAGTCAAAATTCAGGTTTTTTTTGAGTTTGCTACTAAATTTTAGAAATCATGTAGCTTTTTGCATCAAATGGGAATAACAAAAACTGTTCTACTTACTTTCCAGCAGTTGTCCTGGAGCCCAAAGAAGCATAAAGTTCTTTAAAACTCTCAAGGGCCTAATATTGCAAGTGATTGCTCAGAAGGTTGCTGTCAACTCTTGCCTTATGACTAACTCCCTAGATTGCTGCAATTGACTTTTCCAACAAATCTGTTATTCTATTAATTGCTCTTCGCAGTCCCATTCACTGTCATTGCTAGATGTTGCCATTTTCATAGGCTTTTTAGAGGCAGACATGCCAGGGACTCTGCCAGCCACAGCACAAAGGCTGTCCCCTACCTACCACTAAGTCAACCCACATATGCCTTGCAGCTCCTCTATTTCCTAATAACCTTTAATAAACTCTGTAAGCAGGTGTCTAGGGACCTGGATCTGCCACTATGCACCTGATTTCCTAGGAGAATATGAGTGTGAGATTCAGGAAGCCAGAGAAATTAACAGGAAACTTTCTTCTGGGTATGGAAGAGTGAGATTGATTCACCCACACACATTAGGCAATCTTAAAGTAAGTTTGAAAGAAAGAAAAGAAGCTTATGTTTATGGCATGACTAGCACCTGGTTCTTCCAACCAATATATTTTTACCCTAACAGACTTGCTGTTTTTAGCTATGCAAGGGCAAACTTCCTAAGAACAAATGGTAAAACATTTTAAAGATAGAATTTCATCCAATCAATCAACTATTTATTGACCACCAAAAATGTAACTTTTAGCCCTCAGGCTGAAGTGAATTTATACCAGTTTGGAAAAAATATCTATGACATCCCTTTCACAATCCCTCATAATGAGCCAAACCTCACATGGAAATAGCTTCATGAGTCTTGCAACCACACATACGGGGTTTGGTCACATTTTAACCTATTTCAAACTGCATTGTTTTCCACAGAAAATAAAGAAACAAAAAATTTGGATATTTTTCTCTATATACCTAAAAGAGCCCATTTCTCTCTGAAGTTAGACAAAATGAAAAGAAGCTACCAGTAGCAAGCCACTTACAATGGTAAATGGGCAACATCATATGTGAGAACACACCGTGCCTTTTGCATATTTTTAAATGTCTGTTTCTTCCATAAAAGAAAATTTGGAAACACATGTCTCTCATCAAGTACATATAAATAGCATAGGCTAAAACCAAATAACTACAATGACAAAGCTTAATTCACGTTTGTAAATTGTGAAGCATATACTTCACCCAGAGGAAATAAACTAGGCTATTTGTTTTTA